CCCTCCCCCTGCTCCTACCCCCGACGACATTCGCTTACGTGACGTCGCATGAATTTTCGGTGTCACATTACTCTCTTTAGCTGATTGGGCGCTCTAGTGACGGATCCGTCGGTTGCTTTGACTCCTGAAAAGTAGGAAAGTAGGCAACTTTGCGACGAAGCGCCTGTTTGTTGGCAACCCAATGGATAGGGACGTCGGCTCGTCCCTTGTTCTGTCCTGCCTCGTGGACACCTTACGTTACGCCCATCTCCCTGTCTCCCGCTTCCCGCGCGCTGACGCTGCTTCGACCTCTGCTCAGGGACAACCCTTGTCGTCGTGGGGGAGGGTCCTCACGGCGCTACACGGGGGAACGAAAAGTCGCCGCAAGAAACAAAAAAAAAGAAGAGAGTGCCATCCGCTGTTCCGCCGCTCCCTCTGGGCCACCCAAAACTTTTCTCGACCTAGACAAAGCGGTCGGGGTGGTCGTGTCTCCGGCCGGACTGTTTGAATTGTCCCGCGCTCACAAAGGGGTCGCGTGCGCCCCGCCCGGCCGACACCACGTGTACTTTTAATATTAAACTTTTGTTAGGCTGTTGAGCCCGGCTACGCTACGCCCTCCCCCTCCCCCCCCCCCTCTCCCGCCGGGGGGGAAGCGGCCGCAACAACATCTATTCCGGGTGTGTTGCCAAATTAGTTTCGTGTCCCCGCGAAAGGGAGGAGAAGGGGGTGGAGAGAGCCGGGGGGCCGTTTCGGCAAACTCACTCGCCGCCTGCCTGCCGACTTATCGCAACGTCTAACTGCAAATAAGGTGGCTAAGGCGGTGCAGTGGCGTGCGGCTAGTTTGGGTGGCGCTGGCGCTTATTCGCAGCACGGAGTGTGCATGAATAGGGGAAAGGGAGGGGGGGGGGCAAACGCTAGGATGACATGAAAAGTCGCCCTCTTTTGTTGCGGTTGCGTCATTTTATATTGCACTGTGTGTGCTGTGTGTACAGATGTGCCCTTTACAAGACACAGCGTCGCGTGGCCCTGAAAGCTAATCCCCTTTTCTCTGTGCCGGCCCCGCTGGGGGGCTGCGCCAGCAGGGCTGCGCGGCCTTTGCCTGGCCCTGGCCCTTTGATGAAGCTGAACAATGCGAGCCCGGCGGCGTCACGCTCGCGTCACGCGCGTGCCGGCCGTCGTTAAGTCGCGTCCCGTCACAGGGTTATTCATGACCTAAGCCCGGCCGGGGCTGGTTGCGCCCGCCGCCGGCCTCGGCCCTGTTGAACGCGTTTTGTAATTGAGTCGAGCTGTGTATTTTCTCCTTTCCTTTTGTTCAATTAATGCATTGGTGCCACGGGTGTTGGGCAACTACAGCAGTTGGTCGGGTCGGTCAGGTGTTTCCACTTTTCCCCTTCTCTTGGTTTCCTGTGCTAGGAAGTCGCTCTCATGTTGTGCTAATCGCTGTAATCATTTGCTTAGTTCTGCTGAAGGCTGGGGAGGGGGGGGGCACCCTTTGGCTTTGGGGTCGTCGCTCCCCCCGCGTGGGGTGTGCCATACGAGCGTGCGATGCCGCACAGCGCTTCTGCCTGACCCAGATGTCAGAAGTGTCGAATCGGAATGGAGCTGCCGCCCCCGCCGCCCGGGGACTGCCGACTGCCGCTGTCTCAACGCGGACGCATTGCATGGGGATGGCGATGCGCTGTGCGGCGGGGCGGAGCGTACGGGGTGGTATTGTGCTTGCACTGCGACTGTGCTCTTGCTCTACATACCCCCCCCCCCTCTTTTCCCATCCCTCTGCGCTCCTCCTGGCCTACGTCATCCTCATGCAGGCCATATTCTCTATGCGCCCTACGAGGCCGGATCAAAACGCACGCAGTTCCCTCCTGAAGGCTTTGGAAGCGTGCGCCTTTACCGGTTTCCTTTCCCTACGCCGACACCACATTGTGCGCCTCTTTTTTTTTGCTTCTTGTAAAAGAAGGCTGACTGACAGCGACTGATACTGAAGGTGTGCTGTTCTCGGGGGGTCTAGCGCGTCTGGCGTGTCCCACCACACCGAGAGGGTACTTCAATGATTTGTCGTTTCTTTGCTCTTTTCAAAACTCCTTTGTTTTCCCCCGTGTTCCCAGATTATTTTTTGATTTTTTTTTTTTTGTGGTTACCACCAGCGAGTGTCCTTTAATTGATTTGGAAGAATCACAGAGGAGAAATGGGCGATGGCTCCGGAAAGGTTCCATCATAATAGTATGTGATACTGTTGGGAGGTGTGCTCCCCCTCTTCCCTTCTCCCTCCTTCCTCCTTCCTCTATCCTCCCCCTCTCTCCGCTCCGACGACGGTCGGCCGCTCCTTCCTTCCTTCCTTCCTGCCTGGCTCCTGGCTGGCTTGGCTTGCTTTTGTCTCAGCCGGGTTGCCGCTGATCGATGTCGCTGGCGATTAGGACAGCCGGGTGTACTGTCGCCATGGCGACCGCGAGGAGGCGAGTTGAGCGGGCGAAGCGGCGAAGCGGCGAAGCGGCGTGTGTTTTTGTTTACAGAGAGCGCGCTGGCCTCAATAAGCCCGCCGCGGACCCGCCGGTGCGAGGAGCACAGCAGGGTGCACCACCGCTTCGGCGGCTCTCCATGTTGTCTTAAATTTTATGGGCCCTAAAAAATTATTAAGCACTTTGGCCTTTTAAGACCCAGAGCATGTCATGCGTATATAATTCACAAACTTGCTAAGAGAATAATTGGTTTTGCGATAAAATATTGGACTTGACTTTTATTTGCCTGTGGGAAGAATAGCAGTATACGCACGCACGTTCGTGTGCGTGTGTGCGCTTGTGTGTGGCGGAATGAAAAAGGGGCCGGGGGGCGGGGGAGGATCTCCCCAATGTTGACGGGTTTATCTGCTGGAAGTTCTTTCCTCCCCCTTCACCCTCTTACCATTTCCCCCATAGCCTAGCTCCTCCCGTTCTTTCAGCTAAATCGTTTTCAATCCGGAGCCTCTTCATTTGTTTGGCTGCACCCCTCGCGCGGGGGCAGGGGGGGGGGGTCGGCACGCGAGCGGAAGCGAGTAGGGAATGCCACTGGTTCCTGCGGAGAATAAAGGGGGGTGGGAAGGTGACCGCAATGAGTGAGTTGTGAATGTGCGACCAGGCTAGTAGTGTACTCGCGGTGTACGTCTGTCGTCGGTCAACGCAAAGCAGTAAAAGTTCGTATATACAGTTCTTTACTTTGAAACGCTTTATTGCGTCGTATACGGTATGCACCTTCGCCTCGCACACGCCTTTCAGCCCCTCCGCCGTCCTCCCTCTCCTCGGGCCTCGGGCCCCCCGAACCGCTTTCCGTACTTTGTTCCCCCCGACTTTGGTGTCCCCGGCCCGCTTCGCCCCGCCGCACGCACTTCAATGGCCTGTGGTTCACCCGCTCGTGCCTTTGGTTCGGCCCCTCTTGAAGGCGGGCGGGGGCCCCCAACTCCAGCCGCGGGCTTTATCCATCCGCACCACTCCAGACCGCGCCACGCCACGCCACGCCACGCCACTCGGTTGGTGGTGGTGATCCGCGTTGATGGCTGCAGTCACGAATCATTCGCGCCTCAGATTGCAGGGGGAGAGAGGGAGCTGAGCTGAGCTGCTTGAGCCGGCCCCGGGCCCGGGCAACCCCATGTCTGGAGTGGAACGACACCTCTTCGGGGTATACGAGGGTATTCAATGTACATGTTTGGGGGAAACCGCTCTCTCCTTTTCTATTCTATTCTTCGAGAAATGGCCTTTTAAAAGGAAGGTCCGCGGTGCCTTTCTTTTCTATTACCTTCGGGATTGCACTGGTAGACGCAAGTAAAGTTTACTTTCCTTTCGATTGACCGTCACAAGTATTACTCCACATTCCGAGTTTCCGTTCCGTTTGCTTTTATTATTTTACAAAGTCGCCCGTTCGCTAGCAGCCCAAGGCACCTCCAGTTATGTGGCCCAGCCGGGCCCAGCGGTGCGTGCCCGAGTGTAGCTGCGGCCTGCTGCACTACTGGATGTGCGGCGCGGGGGCACGCCCGCTGTGTTCGTTAAAATGACCCAAGTTCCGGAATGAGTTTTGTAAAGTGCAGGCGCGAGTACAGCGTCACGCCATGCGGCCATGCGGTGCTTCGCCTGCTTCGCGCGCCCGGGGCGCCAGACTGCTGCGGCCCCCGCGGGGCCCCGGGTGGTGCTGGGGTGCATCCCGCCGCGC